TTCATTACCTGAAGCTGTAATTGTTAGATTAACCCCCAGTGTGCAAACAGACCAAACTCATACAAATATAAAAACCCATGAGCTGTGGTCCATTTTTGGGTGTAGGCCCTGGGGAGTTTTGTCTGCCCTGAATATACCTGGAGGCCCTTTAATAAACATAACCACTTTTAATTCCCTTCATTCTGTCTGGCCTCTGTTTTTAGGTAGTCTCAGAAGGGCATCAGGAAAAGCAAGGCTGTTATTCCTCCCTAGAGCCCTTTCCCAGCTCTGAATTTTATTCTTTTTTTCTTTCCATGTCCCTAGTAGCCGGGGCTGTTTTTCCCCCCCTCTCAATTTATCTGATCTTTAGCAGTGGTTAAAGGCTGAGGAAGCTGTGCCATGGTTTAATTATGTGTTGAAAGGGGAGCTGTGACCTTTGGATGGCTCTGGATGACCCTGCTGTCACTGCCTGTCCCCTCCTGGCCCTGCTGAGGGGACACTGCAATATTGTCTGCCATCGATTTTCCCCACGCCGCTTATGGTTTTATAGACATCTACAGTATCTCCTCTCTGGCTGGAGAGACTTATCTGCTTAATAACGCCCACAAAACTCCTTTTTCTTGCTGCTTCTTTCTCTGTGTTTGCTGTTTTGGGATGAGGCAGGAGCAGACCTGCACTCACACAGAGCTGAAAGTGAAGGTGTGCACTGACACATTGATAATTTACATTCTGGTCTTTATTTCTTGGGCACAAATCACCCTGGGGTTATTTCATCATTGAGAATATTTTTTTTTTTTTTTTTTTTTTTTTTACATAGAGCATTATATTGTAATTCCAGCATCAGCCTCTGAAACCCTAAAAAGTCATGGCAGTCTTCAGAGCTATCCTGAAAAAAACAGCTCAGAAACAAATGTGAGGAGTGGTCATGAAGAGGCATCAGCTTTTCAAGGGTTTTAATTACTTTCATGGCTCATTTAGTATTGACTGCTTGTGCATAAAACAACAGGCAGATTTAAAAAAATACATTTTTTTAGCTAAAGAAATAGCTTTTTTTTCTTCTGACAAGCCATGTCTTGTCCTTTGTCCTCCCTGCTCCTTCCAAATTCCTTGACTCTACTAGTGAATTGACACTAAAAGTAAATGAAGAGTGGGAAAGGATATAGTTTTTCCCATAAGAAATTTGCCGTGGGGCCACAGGAAAAGAAGAGTAAATTTCTGTTAGAATGTTATGTTTTATGCAGGTCACACTTGTGGATGCTGACAATGCTTCCCTTACTTCCTGATACATTTACTTCCCCAAAATCCTTCTTCTGATCTAGCACATTTAGTTAATTTCTTGAAATTACGTCTTGAATTTTGAGGAAGGGCGTATTTCGTATTTGCATAAAATAACCTCTGAGACAGTTCAAGTGATAATGAAATCATGCATGAGTTAAAAATAAAATTTAAATCTTGTTCTCATGCCATAAGTAAATGAAATAATCCTCCCTCCTTCAGCTGTATCTGTTGCTGGTTTTGCCTCACATAATTTTATTTATCGTTCATATCTGTGTTCAGATATGAATACTGGGGGCTGTAGAAAAGTTTCTTTGTTTAGCCTGGCAAAAATATCAACAGATATTTCACATACATGTGCAAGAAATCAAATGGAAAAAAACCAAAAAAAACCAAAAAACACTTTTAAGCTTCCCTAGCTGCATTTTGGGTTTTGGAAGGTGTCACTGTAATTTCAATTATGAACTTAGTTATGTTATTTTTTGCTACAAATGAAACTGGAATTAAGGAGCAAATCTTGTTAGCCCAAGCTCCTGCTGATTTATGTATCAACCCTCTACTTGGGCAGCAAACAATTTTCCCTGTGCTACATTATTTTGGTTGTTTGGGTTTGGTTTTTTTTTTCTTTCCCTTAGACTCACGAAACTGATGTTTCTGTGGTCATTTTCTCTGCTGTTTTATCCATCTATCAGAACTCCCACATCCTTTCATGCTCCCACCTCTGTGATGGCAGAGGAGAAGGGGAATCCATCACCTGGGGAGGGGATGGATTTTGTTTGATGTCCTGAAAGGACAGCACTTGGGGAGAAGCTTCCAAAATTCAGAGAGGTTCAGCATGGAGACCAAAATCTTTATGAAGATGTCACAGAGGATCCAGAGTCAGGGCTTAAATACTGGATCAGCCAGCTTGCACTTCAAACTCTGATATTTTCCCAAGAACTTCTAGGAAACCTGTAATTCTGCATTAATTCAGTCACATAAGCACTTCTCCAGGAGGTCTATATTCTTCTCTGCATGATGCAAACAACAGTCATTCATTTTCAGTTGAAAAGCCATCAGGTTCAGTTTTTATAAATGAGAAGTGAATTGGCTGACATTTTAAGAGAATGAGCATTTTCCGTAAAAACTGAAAACAACCCAAGGGGATAATCTGATCATTTTGCCAAAAATTGGTGCTGTGGCCTTTGAATTTAAATAGTGGCTGGCAGGGGAAAAATCTGGCATTGATTTATCATAGATAGGAGTTTTATAACTCACTTTTGTGTGTATTAACCAATACAGGTGGAAATAAGACCATAACATGGACTGTAGAATGTTTTACTTTTATCACAGCCTGATGCTCTTCATTCATCTGCTGACTTTTGTCTGACATGAGAAGATAATATCCCTGATAATCACCAATTTTACAAGGATTTATATAGTTGCATCCCAGCAACTTTCATAAGCGATACAATAAAAATTCTTACCTTTAATTATTAATGCTATTTCCTCAGAAGCAGTAACAGCGTCTCCTGGGATTAATTTGAGACGGTACAAATGCCAAGTAAAAAGACATTTAATTTTTTAAATGTTAATGATTTTTGTGTAACTTTCAGAGCGTGGCCCTGGCGGAACGGTGGGTGAAGCTTTGAGTAGAAGGCTCTGCCTGCACCAGGGCTGAGTGTGAATGAATCACAAGACTCAGCAGAGGCAGGGGCTCATGGAATCACAGATTTGGGTTGGGAGGGACCTTGAATTTCATCCAGTGCCACCCCTTCCATGGCAGGGACACCTTCCACTGTCCCAGGGTGCTCCAATCCCCAATGCCCAACCTGGCCTTGGGCACTGCTAGGGATGAGGGACAGCCACAGCTGCTCTGGACACCTCTGCCAAGGCGCCCCCACCCTCAAAGCAAAGGATTCCTTCCTAAAATCTAATTTCCAACCTTCTCTTTGCCATTTAAACCTTAAGTTTAAACAGCATTAAAAGACGCATGTACCGATGTTAAAAATTCATCGCGGACCCACGGTAGTCGGAATTTCACCATGGGCTGGGCCAGTGTTTTAGGAGACTCCTCAAGCCCGGTCTCATGAGCTCTTGGAGGCCTATAACACACCCAAGATAGCTCAGCTACCTTTGGAGGCATGAAAATCAGCAGGATGGCTTCTGTTGCAGTGTTGGAAACAAAAAGGTTTATTAAAAGGCAAAATAAAAAAACTCTTTACAGAGAAAAACCAAGCCAGGTGCAAGAGGTTCTTGCTCCTGGCACAACACCTCACAAAAACCATTGGTTTCTTTGTTCTCTTCTTTTTCTAGTAAATTGCCCAGGCAGGACTTTTTGGCTTCCTTCCAATTTGCTATCCTTAAGTTTGAGGTGAAGTCCCCCAGGTCCTATGAGGTGGTTTTTTACCTAATTGAGGAAAGAAACTTTTGGGATTTTTCCTTTTTAAGGAGACAAAGGGTAGTTTTGTCACTCTGTCAACAGGAGGCACATTCCTATAGGCCAGCCTTAAAACCTCCCTGCATATTGTACATGCAGGCAACCCAGGACATCCCTCTGTCTGTCCTGAGCAGCCCAGATCCTGCCAGGACAGAGAGACCCTGGCACAGAGCCCAGAATGCCCCTGAGGGTTTGATTATGACCCGTGGAGCCTTAGATGAAGATCTGCAAGCCATGACAGATTAAGTAGAATGATAGTGAATTTATCACGGTGTGGAAAAATAGATTTTGGGGTTTCTTAGAATGGAGGTTCAGGGGGCAAGATGGAGGAATCTGGGCGTGTCCAGCCTTTCTCCTTCTTCTTCTTGGCCTCCGTCTCCTGCTGTGGTGTTGGCACTTTTGGATTGGTTTAGAGTAGAAGCTCAATGTCTAACACAGGTGACAGGTATTAGGAAGTAATTGTAAATAATGCCTATGTAGTTTTTAGTATAAAAACATAACACTACCCTGGGGCAGGCAGAGTGCCTCTGACTGCCTTGCTGAGCTGACCTGGGCAGGACAGGAGAGAGAATTTTATAGATAAGAAACAATAAACAACCTTGAGAAATGAAGAGCTCTGACTCCTTCTTCAAGCACTGGGCTGGGAACAGAGACTTTCTAACACATCTCGGGGTCACTCTGATCAGCTAGAGACCCTGACACCCAACGAGGGGAGGGAATGATGTTTTTGACTCCATGTTCCCAGAAGGCTAGTTTATTACGTTATAATACTATATTATAATAAAGAATAATATACTATACTATACAAAAGTATAGTATAGTATAGTATATTATAGTATAGTATAGTACAGTATAGTATAGTGTAGTATAGTATAGTATAGTATTCTTTAATATAGTATAGTATTCTTTAATTTAGTATAGTATTCTTTAATATAGTATAGTATTCTTTAATATAGTATAGTATACTAAAGAATACAGAAAAGACACTTACAGAATGCTAAAAAGATAACAATTAAAACTCCTGACTCTTTCCAGAGCCCTGACACAGCTAGGCCCCGATTGGCCAAAGAGTGAAAACAACTCACAGCAGAATCCAATGGAACAATCACCTGTGGGTAAACAATCTCCAAACACATTCCACACGAGCACAACACAGGAGAAGCGAATGAGATAAGAATTGTTTTCCTTTTCTCCGAGGCTTCTCAGCTTCCCAGGAGAAAAGCCCTGGGCGAAAAGAAATCCCGTTCAGGGAACGCGACCGCCGCACCTGCAGGCGCCCCCGGGGGAACCTCCACTAAAATCCTCCCCCCGTTGCTTCCCCCCACAGGTGTTCCAGGGCAACTTTGACAACGACACGCACCGCAAGAACATCATCGAGCCGCCGATCGTGGCCCGGCACGTGCGCATCCTGCCCTGGTCGTGGTACGGCCGCATCACCCTGCGCTCCGAGCTGCTGGGCTGTGCGGCCGAGGACTGAGCTGCCCCGCTCCTGCTGCTGTAGAAGAAGCTTGTAGGATGCTGAGTGGGGTTTTCTCCATGAACCAGTGCTCGCTCATCTTTTTATGGTAGGCCGCTAGCTGTCTTTCGCCAGGAGGTCTAAGCCTGCCCTTTTAAAAAACGATCCGATCCGGTTTTAATTTTGCCCTTGAAATCTGTTGGTGTTGTCCCTTCTGCTGTGGAATTATCCTCCTAGTTCTCCTTTGAGCTGTTGAAACGCATTGAGGGAAAAAGAGAAAAAAGAAAAAAAAAAACAAAACAAAACAGCAGCATCCTTTTTACAAGGGAAGAGAAAAACGAAGCTCATTTGCAGCTTCAGGAACATTGGGCTGACGAGTTCTCCATAAATCATACCATCATCTTACTTGCAAAAAGTGATACTGCAGCTTTTAGCAATAAGTTTACTTGGGGATGACTGCATTATAGTAATTGTGCCTATCAAACACTGTCAGTTCTTACGACATAATATTTTGGGAAATTCTCCATGGTACTGTTCAAACACGGTACCTGTGACGTTCCGAGCTACCTTTCACCACTTCCATCCAGACAGCAGAGTCCACGCACCTGGAAGGTTTTCCTAACTGCCCCATTTTCCTTCTCTATTTTGCATGCTGTAGACACGGCCTCCATCTTTTCTGTTCAGTATCACACTGTGCTGGTGTTGTTTTCCTTGAGAGATGTCACCTGTTTTGAATATGTAACCAAATCAGTGTATTTATGACGTTAATGAATTTGCCAAAGTTTCTTCATTTTCATAGTTTCTGTGCTTTTTTATGGAGACTAAGGTGAGGCACCAGGGCACCTATGGTGTCTCATCTTGGATGCCCACAGAGATTTCCATCAGAAATCCCATTCCAGGATGATTTTTCCAGGGGTGAGCATGCAGACCTGCCCACCCCCATCACTGCTTTCACACACGCTCTGAATTCCAGCGAGGAGGAAAATGTGGGGAGAAGGAACCAGGTGCTAAAAGACACACAGGAGGAATGACTCCCTCACTGCCAGGAAACCCTCCCTCTTGAGGCTCTTCCTAAAGTCACAGCTTTCCTCCCCAAAAGGGAAGAGGTGACTTAGGAGCACAACTGTTTTCAGACAACACCAGTGAGCCATGAGGAGGCTGTTTCCTATCATCCCCCATCCACAGGAATGCTTCACACACGGCATGATAGCAACCCCAGTTTAAAAAGTAGATTTTAGGAGGAAAAGTAGTGGAGAAGTAGGGGGGATATTCTCCCCCGTGCCTCAGTTCCCCCTGCCGATTGAGATGACAATACCAATCTTTGAAGAGCAATCCAAGTTCCCTTGGAGTAAAGTGCTCTTTAGAGTTAGAGCAGCACCTCAGACTAAAAAAGATCCCAGGACAGGGAGCGAGGGGACCTGAAACAACAGCACTTGGGATTACTGCCAACCTTTTAATTTCATACCATGCTGATGTGGAGAGAAAGAGAGAATGTGAGAGAGAGAGAGAGAGAGAGAGACAGATGCAGCTGCATGTTTTAGCAAATGTCACTGAACTTATAATTATACTTTCTGTCACTGTTCCATTCTCACCAAAACTCTGAACTTGGGCACTGCTTCCCAGGCCAGCAGCTCGCTGGCCCACAATCTACAAAGGGCAAAGTTTACCTTGGAAACAAAATGGTTTGGATTTCGAAAAAACCTGCATTTAATCACACATTCTCCACCACAGACTAAATATATATTATCCATTGAACTGTGAAAGACTCTAGAATAGCAGCCAGGAATTTTACATACAAGAATTGGGGATATAATGGTGGCGGTTTTCTGATAGTGTCACTTAAACTGTCACATTTTAGCAAACAGAACACCCTGCCTCTACAAAATGACTTAATCCTTAAACTGTATTTATACAAGTATTTATTTTATAAGGCTTAGACATTTAAAGACTTCTAAAGAAGAGTCCTGTAAAGGTAAAAGTATGTGTAAGAAATGTTGAGGTCCTGTGCAACACTGCTAAGTTTGTTCTTTATTTTTTACTTTGTGCTGCCTAACAAAAGCCACTAGACTGTTACTGTCTTGTCTGTAACTGTGTTAACAGCATTCCTTAATGATGTATATATGGAGTGGTCTTCAAGCAAAAGGAGCAATTTTAAAGAGAAAGTCAATCAATTTGGTGGTACTTCTAATGAGAAAAAAAAAATCTATATGAATAATGGAGGACGAGTCTATCCTTACATTATCTACTGCCTATATTTTGTAATTTAGGCTTTAGGTTAAAAAGAAAAAACAAAAAAGAAAAATCTAGCCTTTAGGGTATGAACACACAATACTTTAAGAGACTTAAATACATTTTCCTTTTATGGGAGAGCAGTTGACCCTGAATTTAATTACAGATATGTAGAATAGCATGTAGCTATTTCACTAACTGACTGTATCCAGAAAAACAGAAGGCCATTTCAGAAAATTAGACTTCCTAGTTTAAAAACTCATGTTAATGCTCTTCTGAAATATTTGGTTTCTGATCTTAATGTTGGGGTTTTTTTTTTCATCTGAATAATCTTTTGGGCCTTCAGTTTTGCTTTTGAATTAATATTTCTTGGTTTAGTGAATTAATTGTAATCCCTTCATCTGCATACAGGGTTTTCATGTAATGTAACATGGTAGTTTTAATTTGGTATTAATTTGGTGTTGAGTATTTTCACCCTAATGTCCTGTGCCAGTAGTCTTCACAAGGAGAGCTCCATAGCTAGTGATAATAATCCATGATAATTAATTAAAAAATCACATATCTGATGCCCTTACAGTTTCAACCTGCATGCTAGGAGTTTTTCCAATGACATTATTCCTTGGCTACCAAAAAGCTTTCTTGGATTGGCACTTCCAGCACCAAATTCTGCTCCCAATGTCAGCCGAATCAGTCTGAAATAGCTCTTGGTTTAAATGGAGTCCTTCAGATTTAACAAAACAGGTGAGAATCAGATTAGGGGATAGAATTAAACTCTTTCCCTTTGATTTTATTTTGTTGTCTAGGTGCATACCATTGTCATAAGGGGCGAGTTATAAATTAACACAACTGTTCTCTCCCAGTGAAAGCAACCAGCCCCCAAAAAACCAGAAGTGCAGGAGAGGAGATATCCCTTTAAGAGAGGACGGAGAAAAGCTCAGAAATAATCCTTGACTTCTGAATTAATTGCTAGCAATGACATTGAACAAGGCCAAAAGTGTTCCCCTAATTAAATTTCACCCTGAACCAGCTAAGTATTTGTAGGTAGGCCTCACCTTTGTGTTGCTAGGCAATATCCTACATTTATAGCCTGGGAAATAAAGCACTGGCACCAGGCTCCTTTTTATCAGCGTTCAGGGCCTGTCGCCTCAACTGGCTCTGGATCCAGGGTTGACTTTCTCTTTTGGAATAGCTTCATACAAATTAAGTGTCAGTTTTGAAGACTAAGGATACTAAATGAGTGTATCTTTGCTATACAACCAATGTGAACTATAATATTCAGTGCTGGCTTCTGATGTGTCAGTAAGTACAGAAGTATCTCAGACACAAACGACCTTTGCAACCCTTCAAGCTGTGTGATATTCAAATGGTTTTTGTATATACCTAAATCATGTAGAGCGATGTAAAACCAGTACGACCTTGTCTAGTCTTCAAACTTAACAATAAAAACTTTTGAAAAATGAGGTGGTTTTCTGGAAGCTGCTGTGTTGCAACACCTTGGAGGGCGCGCAGCTTATCGCGGCAAGTGTGGAGCAGAGATAGCACCCGGCATTTTCCTGGATTCAGCCACGGGGTCTATGTGGCAGGTAAGTTTGTTTCTGGAAAAACCAGCAGTTGGTGCTGTGCTCTCCTCAATGTGTTCCCTTTGTTCTTACAGATTAAAAAAAAAAACAAAACACCTCTAGGTTTTGAACGAGTCTTAAAATACTTTTTTTTCTTTTTTTCCCCTGTCCTGCTGCTCTCTGAAAGAGCACCAGAAAAGTAAAATGACAATTTCATTTCCTGTAAGTCAGATTTCCTGGGATATTTATCAGTCCTTATCCTCTCTCCTCCACTCCCGCATAGGCAAATTAATTTCTGAGAAGATAAGGAGTGGCTGCAGGCCAGACCTGCTATGAGATGCCACAGCATAGCTGGTATTTGCTCACACCCTTGCCCATTTTCTCTTTTATTTCCTGTACATCCTGCTCCCCAAAATAGTTAACTCTATAATTTCAGTTTCTGAAGAAGCTTAAAGTAGCACATGGAAAAGCCATTTGCTCCCAAACCATTTAAACAATTATATTACATTAAAATATTATGTTCACTGAAGAGAGATGAAGCTTCAGTGGTTTACAACTTGAATGAGCCCCTTTGTAAAAACACACATCCTTTTGTTTTATAATGGCTTCAGCTTGTGCCCTTTCTCCAAAAATCATCTGTTAGAGACAAAAACCATCCACAAGCTCTCACAGGTGACAATGGCTGCCCAACATGCAGTCTCAACACTCACTACAGCATGTTGTCTTTTGGAAGAAAAGTCACAAAAATGCCACTTTCCCTTATTATGAATTGCTACCAGTCACAAACAATGAGAATATAGTGCTGCACACGAGGAGAGGAGTATTTTTGGAGAATGATGGCTGAATATTAGCACTTCAGTCGTAAATTTCTGCATCTTGAAGCTTTCTGGCTTTTGGTTATAAATTGCAACTGCTTCACGAAACATTTTCCTGAAATCCAGGGACTTTTCCTGAAGAACTGAAAAGTAGGTTTTTTCTCACATACTTCATAACATACACACCCAGGAATTCTAGTGAAGACAATGAGAAAATAATGAGCAAATCTCTTCAGAATAGCAATTATTTATCAGTGTCCATCCTCCCATACCTGTTGCTAATGAGCTCAGGGGATTAATATGGGCATCAACACTCTAAATCCTCATGAAATAAGTAGTCTCTGATACTTCTGTGGTAAACACAATGACACTTATTTTATACCTTAGATTTAATAAAAAGAGGCCAACTTGTTAGTGATTACTAAGTGACCTGTGATCATGTAGTCTTAGAAATCAAATATAACAAATTAAAAGATAATTTTTAATTAGGGCTAAATATAGTTTTACTGATCCCAAAGTGTTTTCATTTTTTAATTTAACTTGCATAATTTTCTTAATAGAGAGATACACTTTAGAATGAAGAACTTAGATTTTAGAAACTTTAGAATTTAGAATTTAAAAACTTTAGATTAAGAATCTAAAATATAAAAGTCAGAATTGCACAAACTACGCAGCATTATGGTGCCATTCATTGCAAATTAACTTTCAGTGATACATGCATCATTGTAAATATATATTTTTAAATTCCTCTGAATGGGGAAACATAGAAACATGTCTTGTTCTCACAATTTAGCTTGCTAGGAGTGCAGCAAAATGTATTTCACCAGTGCGTGTGAGTAAGAATAATTGGGTTTTTGTGTAGTTTATATTTGGAATTAGGCCCCACGTGTGTGGGAATGAGCAGGAAGCACCTGGTGGAACACAGGTGAGGCACAGGAGGTGGGGAGGATGGCCAGCACAGCCTCTTTGTCACAATAATATTTATTTATTTATTTATTTATTTGGTTTGCCAGCTGACGGGCTGTGTTATCTGAGGTCACACATCATCTGAGGTCAGCAGGCACAGCTCTCACTAGATGGAGGAAATCAACCCTCAAAATACACCAGGAAAGGTCGCCAGGCATTTGCATCAGGCTGGAAAATCAAAAGCAGGCTAAATGAATGTATTTGATTTCTGGGATGCTGCGCGAGGTCATCAGGAGCTGTGGGGAAGTGTATTGTGCTGCCTTGGCCACAATAAATGCAATCAAGTGCACAGGCTGCATAAAATATACATGTGGTGCATTGAGGCAAGATCAAAGGGACCCTAAAAAGTGAAACATGCTATTTTCTGATGAAAGCATCAGAAAATGTGACATGGGTGGTATGGTCTGACACACTGTGGGTTTGCACAGGTCTGGCTGGGGTGGATTTGCCCTTGTGGAGTTTCTGGGGCAGGGGAGCCCCAGCCCCAGGGGCTTCTTTAGAAAGGACAGGCAGGGGAAACAAGGAGGGGATGTCACCTCTGAGCAAAGA